TGCATGTATGTATGTATGCATGTAATGTCTGTAATGTATGTAATGTATGTAATGTATGTAATGTATGTAATGTATGTTTGTATGTATGTATGTATGTATGTATGTATGTATGTGCATATATATATATATATGTATGTATGTGTTTTTGTTACTGTGTGGTTTGTTTATCTATTCAACTACTAATTCACTCTTCGGTTTATACATATATATATATATATATACACATATACACATACTCCTACCTATCTGTAGCTTCCACAGGCTCCATGGGCGAGGCAGGGGTCGAGAACTGAGGGGGGATGCGGCAGCGTGCAAGATTGAAGGTTTAGGGCTTCGGTTTTTTGTTAGTTACTTGTCTGGGGTTTTGACTTAAAATCTAGGGTTTAGGGATTGAGGCTTTACATGGTTGGTTCTCTGCTGAGGTTTACATGTTTTGGAAAGGATTTTGCACGGCGTTTAGACGGAACTGTGCAAGAGTGACATGATTCAGGGATCTGTAAAGGTGTTTGCATGTAGGGCTTAGGGCTCTGAGGTTCTAGAGCTTAGTTTTGGCCTCTGGTTTTGGCGTTGATTTCGGTGCCATGATAGTTATCATCGTAGTAGCCGCCGTCGTCGTCATCGTCGTTGCACCATACGTCCTGCTGTGGCCAGTACTGTTGTTTTTTATTGTTGTTTACACGCCGTAGATAAGGTGGTTCGAACTAAAATTTGCAAGTAAGATTTCGACTGCAGGGTTAGCTAGGCTGATGTTTGTGTAAGTACTCCTGGGTCGTGGGGATGAGGTCTAAATCCGAAATCGTCCGCGCAGGGTATCTTGATGCCTTCACCGTTCAAGCCTGACGCCCAGAACCACCCAACCTTAAATCTTTACCAGCCCCAAACCGCAAACCGAAGCCTACTCACTCCGAATCTCCAACCCCCGTACCGAAAGGATGTCCAGTTCGGTTTAGGGTTTAGGGTTTAGGGTTTAGGGTGGTTTGTCATGTGAGATCCGGGTGTCGCGGGCCTAGACCCTACGCAGCCCTAAACCCTAAACCCTACACCCGAACCCGCAATCCTCCAAGAACCAAGGCCCACAAGCCTAAACCCCAACCCCGAAACATGTAAAATCACACCAAATGCTTGCTTAAGTACTTGGTCTTTTGAACTGAAGAACCCCTTATTCTGTTAACTCCTGAACCCCCCCAAAAAAAAAAAACTTAATTCACCGGCTCTTTGAAGAGGTGACGCGGCAACATGAAGCCATTGTCATCGTCTTCGGGTGGAACGAGGCGATTGGTTCCATGATGCTCCTTGGCAAGCCCTCAACCCTAAACCCTAAACCCTAAACGCACGATTAGAGCCGTCGTCTCAGCGACTTAGGACAACTGCTTTAGTGTTTTAGGGTTTTAGGGTTTAGGGTTTAGGGTTTAGGGGTTTAGGGTTTAGGGTTTGGGGTTTAGGGGTTTAGGGTTTAGGGTTTATAGGGTTTAGTATAGGGTTTAGGAGTTAGGGGT